TAAAATAAATTGAAACCAAAGAAGTACTGAATTCTAAGGAGTTTGTAGTGACAACTAATTAACTATTGCATCTTTTGGGTAAAGAACAGTACTCCAAGCCAATTCATGAGGCAAAACAGGCCAATAGAAATGCAGTATTTCTTAATTTATTCTACTGACATGGTTTTAAATGTTCTGTTACTGAAAACTTAACTGATGGGTGTTTGCACACACAGGTCTGTAGCACCTTACCAGGAAGCACCCATTATCAAGCTGGGTCCTGTCATCTAGCCATAAGAGAAGCCATTATCCTAGTTACTGACTGACATGGGGGACACTGTCACATTGAGAATGGCTGCTGAACTTTATCAGACCACTTCAGTTACACTTTGCCTTTTCTAAGACTGCACTTCCCAAGTGCTATTCCAATTGATACTCACTTTAGGTTCCAAACCTTTTGAGTTCAATGGTGTGAGAAATGACTCACCTGTCCAAATTTCAAATGACGGACTGGGAAACAGAAACATGGCGAAAATGAGACTTTTAGTAACATTCCCGAGAGAGAGGGCGCCCATTGTACAGGAACACACATGGGGAAGGGAACACAGCCTATTTATTTAGTCCCTCCTCCGGCTCCTCATTGGCTGAATCCTGTGAGATCACCTGCTCTCATACAGCGCCTAGGTCTTGCTGTCTCCCATTGGGGGGCCATTAAAATATTGGGCTGAGACCTTTCTAGCTGTCTCCATCTCCCTTTGTTTAGGGGAATCACAGCTCTCATACCCTTCCCCCACCCCCCACATCCTATTTGCTCTGGGGAAATTCAGTAACAGCCTGGCCACATGCTAACCTGACAAGCTCAGGGAAGGCCTGCATGGCGGTCTTGCAAACTCAGAGACCTAAAGTAACCACAAAGGATGGTCTGAAATTAAACTTTAACTAAAAGCAGTTATGGTGGCAAGTTACATTCTAGGCTGGTATCTTCATTGACAAGGTCAACCTTTACCTTAACTGAGCCTTATCTATTTGCATCTATAATAATATACCCTTAAAATGTCTGGGTAACTTGAAACTTCTTTTTCTGGACCCCTTAGGGCACAATCTAATGTGCCTGGGCGCCAGAACAGATACCACAAATTCCTTCATTGTTATGTTCATTTTTCCTGCACTCACCTAAGTATGTGTCTATCATTTTCCTTTTTATCCAATCCCAGGGGTCCCCCCCACCCCCCACCTTTGCTTTCTCCCGCCTTTCTAGTCTATCACCAATGGGTTTCATGTAACCCACCTTTATCCCTCCTTTGATTGCAATGTATAAATACAGATGTAACCCGTCATTCTCCGGAGCATTATCTCAATCCTTGAGGTTCTGATTCCCAGCAAATGTCGATAGATTGGCTCAAATAAACTCACAAAAATTCTTTACAGGTTTGAATGTTGTTGTTTTTCACATTAACACGATGAAGATGAATCAGAGGCATATTTCAAAACAAAGGAAAAATGTTGCTAAAGGAAATTAGGGAAAAGGTAAAATGAAGAAATTATGGTAATTGAGCAGAAAAAAAATTTATCCAAATTTTATACATACTGACTGATAACCAGAAGAGCTACATGTTAACAGTATCCTGAGCTATTTTATAGCTTAGTCAGTCATCGGGAAAACATCTCCATTTGTTCCATATGCTTTTAGCCCTTGTCTTATGTGTGTTACCATTCATGAGGTTTCTCCACTAGGACTGAAAGGCTCATTTTATAAATAATTCATGTGTATTGTCACACTTGATTTGTCCCATATCCTTAAACTTCAATGTTAAATTTTTGTACTGTTGGGGATGTCTGTATAGCGTCTTTGATAGATCTTGAAACCAATTTTTGAAAAACAAAGCTTGAGCCTGGTCGGCAAGGCTCAGTGGTTGAGTGTCAAGCTATGAACCAGGAGGTTATGGTTTGATTACCGGTCAGGAAACAGTCCCTTGTTGCAGTCTCAAATGTGTGTGTGTGTGTGTGTGTGTTGGGGGGAGGGAGGGGGGTGGGGGGGGGAGTGTCAATGATGATTCTCTCTCATCATTGATGTCTCTCTCTCTCTCTTTCCTCTCTGAAATCAGTAAAATTATATATTTTTTAAAAAACAAAAACCTTGGGCAGCTTGTGTAAGTATGCAACTTACTTTTCCATCAAAGAATTGTCAGCAGCTGCCTGCTTTTCTCTGGTACACCTGTTAGCTTTCCCCGATAGATTTCTGAGAGCTTAAGTTAATATTGAATGTAATCAAACTTTCTTTTCTTTTGTTTTGAATAAAATACTTCTGACTGGAAAAATATAAATGTGTTTTAGAATTTGTAACATACAAATGACCCCTTAAAATTAATCACTTCCAGAAGTTATATGCACATTCCAATGATATCACCATTACTGAAAACATTTCTAAAACCTTTTTTGGAATAGTTTTGAAGAGTCAGATTAAAAACTAAACAAGTTCTCCGTGGTACCACCTCATTTTACTGGACATCTGGTATTATCCAACTTTTTTACTCCAATTTTATCCAACTTTTTTACTCCAATTTTATTCATCAGACTTACCCTTTCCAAATATTCAAATTTTTTACAAATGACAAAAGTTTGCTACCCCTGTGGATATTCAAAAGCCCTTTTCAGGGGTTGCAAAGACAGTCTGTTCAGTTTGCTTCAAGTTACAGTGGGAGGATATGTTCACTGTGTTATTTGAAACTATGTAACTAGAGATACTAAGGCTATAGACAGCCAATATAGAAAACTATACTGGTAAAAAAAACAAAAAGCAAGCTTTAATGATTCATCTATAATCTCCTGAAGCTTAAATGAAGGCAGATAATTATGTTCTCTCCTCTGCTACCCAAATCGTCCCTCAATACCATGTCTCATGGATGGAGTTATGAATTTCTAAAGTATGACAACTTTCACATGGGGCATTATCATACTGTATATGACCTTCAGGTTTCTAGCAACTGACAAATCAACTCATTTGGGTATAAAACAATATGTCTAAAATGCTGTATTTACAAAGGAACTACTCTTTGTGCATTGGTAAGAAAATCCATTTTATATGAGATTGCTGTCTTCTTGTTTGTAATTGAAGAATGCAATAATGAGATTAGAAGTTCTTTTGGACCTCACTATAGGTCAGCGATTTTCAACTTTTTCATCTCATGACACACAAACTAATTACTAAAATTCTGTGGCACATCAAAAAATGTATTTTTTGCAGATCTCACAAAAAATATGTATAATTTTGATTCATTCTCACCTGACAGCTACTGTTGTGTTGGCTGTCATTATTTTATTTGACAATCTAAGGGAAAACAGCTCCGCGCCCCTGACTAAATAGTCAAGCATTGCATGTTTTTTAAATTCTTGCAGCACACAGGTTGAAAACTGATGCTGTAAGTAATACGTGTCTTTTTACCAAAATTCTCCTACTTCTCCCAAAGGAAACATTTACAGAATGTTTAACTTTTCTAAGTCGATCTAAATATGGCCTCCCTTTTGGTCCTGAACTTGTTTTTTCTACCTTACGAAGTGCTCAGATACTTATGTCAGAAGTAATTTTAAGCTTTAAGTAAGTAAATTTATCTCAACGTGGTTCAAAATGAGACTAAAATAAGTTTTGCAGATGTCATGAAAGCAAGATCTAAGTTTTTACTGAGGTTTTTACGTATTTTAAATGTTCCTTATCCAACTTCAATTTATTTAATTGCGTCAAAACAGAACTAAAAAAAAAATAAAAAGAACAACTTCTTTAAGTGTTAGCAACTTCTGTCTGAAGCAGGTCAACCTCTAACCAGGGCTAGCCAACGGTTTTCTCTGTTCCTTAGATCTCCAATTTTAACAAAAATTCAGAAGAGATATCTTATTCGGTTCCCCTTTACTTCTCTTCAACCCATGACTTAATGCTATACCAACAAATTCACCATTTAGCAAAGCCGTTACCTAGATAACTAGCCAGCAACCCGTGAAGGACCTTTCTTGTAACTGAGCAGCAGTTCCAACCCTAGGTGAGTCTGCTCACAATATCTGAATAAGTCTTCTACTAGACTAGCTTCTGGTATATTTTTGGCAAGTCAAGTTTTCTGCTTTGCTCTCTAGCAGAGAAACGTATATAAAAATAAAAAAAATCCCACCAAGAAAAATTCCCAACTCCGAACCTAGTAAATTCCGAACCCAGCGAACCCATTCACAAGCTGGTGGAATCCACAATCCCTGTTAAATCACTTCAGAGCTCCCGCCCCACCCGGGCTCAACCTCCCCATCCGTCCAAAGGCGACAACAGAGTTAGGCACCACCACCAGGCGATGAGGTTCAAACGCGATAGCAAAAGTGGTCTCAAATGTGTGAAGACATTCCCCCTCCGGGGGAAGAACCTGCGCTTCCTTCGCAAAACTGAAAGGACTGCTTCGTTGCTAACCAACCAGCAAGAGAGAGGCGCGCACGAGCCACCTCAACCCGTTTGGTGGCACTTCCCTGAACTCCAAGAGGGGTGACTGGCAGTTCGGGGCGCAGTCACGGGAATGCCATTGCAGCCCAACGTGGGCTGCTTCCGCTCTCGCCCCCGACGGGAAAGCGAAGGAAGCTCACATTCAACCCGCTCCAAACTAGCCTCCCGGCCGCAGGGATGTCAGTGGGAAGGGGCGGGGAGAAGGTTGGACACGCCGCTGCCACTTCAACGGAGCCACCCCTTGCGCCACCAGCGCCCCAGGCCCCGCGGTGCCACGTCCCGGCCTCCGTCCACCGGCACATCCTCGGGAGGCCGTCCGACTCGCTCCCCGGCAGGCGCCCCTCGTGGACCACACCTCGGGCCAAGGCGGTGAGGGAGCAGTTAGAGCGGTTGGAACCCTGGCCCCCACGCTGGCCGCCCCAGAACCCGGCCCGGGTCCGGTCCGGCGCGGCCTCAGACTGCCCCAGGCCCGGCAGGCTCCCCGGGGACAGGCCTGGGCGCCCCCGGGCCGGCCCGGCACCCTCGCGGCCGCCGCGCGCCGCAGGCTCACCTCCGACGTATCAAAAGCGCATATTCGCCGCCACCCGACCGGCGTCTCCGCTCCGCTGGCCTCCCCAGGCCCGCCCAGCCGCTCAGCTCCGCTCCCCTCCGCAGCCTGAGCTCCACTGCGCGCACCCCACCGCCCGGCTCCTCCCCGACACGTCAGGAGCCGCCTGGGGGCCGGAGGCCATTCTGTGACGCACGGGGGCGGGGCTCGGAGCATGCGCGGGAGCGTGCGCGCTGCGGGGCGGGGCTGTGGGAATGATGGCGTCACAGGGGCCGGGCCCCGCCCCCGCCCCGCGCTGACGTCAAGCTGCCGGCGGCCAGTTCGCAGGCGCCCCAGACGCCGCGAAGTGCGAGAACTCAGCCTTCGGTGTTCCCCAAACGCGCAGCTGTTCGGGAAGTGGCGCCGCGTGGCGGAGACCCGGTCTCCCAGTTTTTCAGCCTCCAAGGTCCTTCAACTGTACGTTTCAGTGTTCCCGTTTATGAACTGAATCTCGGCTCATTTCACCTCCGAGTCCGCCCTGACCACCCAGTAGAATAGCAGGGGTATTCTAATCCTCCTCCTCGCTCACAAATGCCGATGTTGTTTGTTTTTAGGGCACTTCCTGTAGCTGAAATTTTATATTTTTCTTGTGATCCTCGGGAGAATGTAGGTTCCATGAGAGCTAGAACCTCTATCTTAGGCTGTTCGTATCCCAACAGGTACCTTGGTCCGGACACAAAGCAGGCACTCAACTATTGTTGAATTAATGGATTCCTTGAGGGCAAAGGGAATATAAATATATACTTTATATATCTAAACGTGTATTTATTTATATAAATATGTGTGTGTTCACCCCCCTGGAGTCCCCAAGGAATGGGATCCATTTTGTATATTATACATATTCCCCCTAGGAGACTTGAGAAAGAAGGGGGGTTGTAGCTCAGAAAGGGGAGAAGCAACATTTTAAGGGGTGGAAATGAAGAAATCGCGCTATTTTTTAAACAAGTTTAGGAGCTTTTGCTGTGTAATGTGCAATGGTTCTCTGATGTCAGTGCTCTTGGGATTGGACCTGTGGGGTTTGGGGACACGATAATGATGTGTAAGACAGGCCTCAAGGTGAGAGCAAGGTGAGCCTGGGAGGTCCAGTTGTATTGTTGAGGGCAGGGTCATAAGCAGAAACAATGCAAGATGGATTGTAAGAGGTATCCCAATCAATGAAGATCAGAAAAGTGATTAATGGGGTTTGTGGAAAGAATGGTACCTTGAGCTAGAATAGTGTTGAAAAGATCACGATAATAATAATGAGCAGTTACTTTTGTTGTACCGTTTGTATGTACTGGCAATTTTGCTAAATGCTTGGTCTGCATAATTCAGTCCTCACAGTGATCCTGTGAGATAGGTACTATTAGCGTTCCCAGTTTATAAATGGGGGATGGAGACTCAGCAAGATGAAGTTGTCCAAGGTCACTCAACAAGAAAAAAGAGAACTCAAGATTCACACCCACCTCGTCTGGACTGTCTAACCCAGAAAACACACTGTGAATCACTACTATACTGTTGCTCAAGAAGGAGGACTATTTACCATAATTACTTGCCCTGGCCGTGTGGCTCAGCTGGTTGGAGCATTGTCTGTGCACCTAAGACAGTGGTCGGCAAACTCATTAGCCAACAGAGCCAAATATCAGCAGTACTACTTCAAAATAGACTCGCCCAGGCCGAAAACCGACTTCTGCGCATGGCCCATGAAGTTTCAATCGCACTGTACGCGCGCCTGCACGTGGTATTTTGTGGAAGAGCCACACTCAAGGGGCCAAAGAGCCGCATGTGGCTCGCGAGCAGCAGTTTGCCGACCATGGACCTAAGGGTTGCAGGTTTGATTCCCGGTCAGGGCACATGCCCAGGTTTTAAAGGCAACCTATCAATGTTACTCTCTCACATTGATCATTGATGTTTCCCAATCTCTTTCTCCCTCTCACTACCTAAGAAAAAAAAAATAGTAATAATAATAATAAAAGACATATCCTGCCCTAGCCGGTTTGGCTCAGTGGATAGCGCATTGGCCTGTGGACTGAAGGATCCCGGGTTCAATTCCAGTCAAGGGCACATGCCCGGGTTGTGGACTCCATTCCCAGTAGGGACCATGAAGGAGGCAGCCAGAGACAACCGATCAATGATTCTCATCATTGATGTTTCTATCTCTCTCTTCCTCTCCCTTCCTCTCTGAAATCAATAAAAATATATTTTCTTAAAAAGACATATCCCCAGGTGGGGATTAAAAATAACCACCACCACTTGGTGAGCTAGAACATAGTGCTAACGTAAGTACTTTACATACATGCCTCCCTCAATCTCACAAGCAGCTTGTGAGGCTGAAATTATGTCCTTCATTTTTTATGTTGAAAAACTGAGGAGCTGGGGTTTTAAACCCCACGCAGGGCTTAGTCCAAGCCTGGTGACCTGGGACATCATGGAAGCTCCTCTATGCCCTGGGGCTCTGCTTCCCTGACTGGAGCTTGTTCCGGCTGATGAGCTGACAGGCAGAGAGGTAATTCGATAGGGAGGCCTTCCTGTGGACCTAGTGCCAAAACAGAACAGTCCATCCCAAGAGGAAAAAGGGCTGCAACTCTTGTCCCTGCCCCCGGGCTGAGTCCTAGGGAACACACTGAGTCACCTAATGGTAGGCCAGGCCCTGCAGAAAATGCTGGTGTCACCTTTCAGTCCACCACCTTTCCCACCCAGCCTGGACCCAGACTGGTATTTGTTAGGACTGATACGCTGGCCCTACCTTAATGAGTAGGCTTTGCTTGGCAGAGTTCTCAGACATATCAAAGCCCTGTGCTAATCTCCTTCCTGGTGTTGGTTGAGCTTTCTCAGCAGACTTGGCCCCACTCCCTGCTTCCGGTATGCCCATCCAGGGAAAATAAAGTGGAAGTGAAGACTGAGGGCAGCCTCCAAGGGAAACAGAAATGACGAAATCAGCTTTGTGAAGGTAGAAAAGGTGAGTGATGGTTGCCCTACCCTCTGCCTTCATAAACCTTAGGAAGGGTTTGCTGAGGCCTAAGTCCCAGTACAAGGTCTTTCTTGGCTAGAGCCAAAGGGGTCAAAGTCACAGTCCCTGAGAGCATGAACAAGCATTCCAATGTCTTTCCTGGCAAAAAGATCCATTTCCCAGTATTTCCCCCTGTATCTCCCCAGTCCCAAGTCTTCCATTTATCTGTCCCTCACTTCCCAAACGTCTCTTCCTCAAATTTCTTCTTGTTCCAGCCCACAGAGTCATCAGAATAATCTCTATAAAATCCCACTGTACAGAGCATCACTGGTTCTAAAACTTGTTTTGGCCTCCTGTTGCCTATGTGATGAAGTACAAACTACAATGTCTAGCATTCGAGGTCCTCCCAGAGCAACTCCAACACACTTAATCCAGTCTGCTTCTTTTCTTTTTTCTTTCTTTTAATATATTGTACTGATTTCAGAGAGGAAGGGAGAGGGAGAGAAAGGAAAACGTCAATGATGAGAGAGAATCGTTGATTGGCTGCCTCCTGCACACCCCCTACTGGGGATCGAGCCCATAGCCCAGGAATCTGCCCCTGACTGGAGTCAAACCTGGGACCCTTCAGTCCGCAGGCCAATGCTCTATCCACTGAGCCAAACCAGCTAGGGCTCCAGACTGCTTCTTACAGTTCACCCATCTGGGTCTGAACAGAGCCTCTACTGCATGCCCCAAAGAGACAGTCCCCTTCCTCTCTGGCCTTTTATTAACTGCCACTGTCCTGTGCACTGCAGCTGCTCCCTAGGTTTGGCCAGCCCAACTTTCGCTCTGCCTTTTGAAGTCCCACACATACGCTACCTCTTCCAGGAAGCCTTCCCTGTTAACTAAAGCCCCCAGTGAGTGCTCCATCCTCTGAGCTCAGTAGAGCTCCTCATAGTTCACAGGAGACTTACTGAACACAGCCTTTTGGTCATGGAGGTGTCTGAACTCCCCAAGGAACCAAAGCTCATTGAGCACAGGGACGCTGTTGACTGTCTTAATATCCCCAGCAAAAGGGACTTAGCACACACTTGTGTAATATGCTTCAGTGAAAATGAAAGGATGAATCAATGATTTAGTGGCTAGAACTCCAAATACAAGGACTGACAGCACTTCCTGGGAAGTGACCCAACTTCTGAGAAAAATTATCTCGTAGAGAGGAGATTTCCACTGCTATGAATGGCCAGCTTAGGTAACGCCAGGTGATAAAGGGGCTGGGATTCAAGTCATGGGCAATTACGACTGTTCTCTAGACCAGTGGTCAGCAAACCACTGCTCGCAAGCCACATGCAGCTCTTTGGCCCCTTGAGTGTGGCTCTTCCACAAAATACCACGTGTGTGCACACACGTACAGTGCGATTGAAACTTCGTGGCCCATGCACAGAAGTCGGTTTTCAGCCTGGGCGAGTCTATTTTGAAGAAGTGGCATTAGAAGAAGTGGGGGGTGTCGGTCAGCTGGGCGACGGGAGACGCGGTGCAGGCGGCCCTGAGATACGCAGCGCTGGGGAGGCACGCGCGATTCATGCACGAGTTGAGTGAGCCAGTCAGTCAGCAGTCGCATGTGCAGTGGTTAGTGCTAGTTGCGTCCGCAAATCACGCTCAGGTGACAAAAGTACCTACTCGAAGCATAAAGTTACCTGTATTTTTCCAACCAGCTGCAAATCCTACAGGTAATTTTGTCATCAATTTACGAATTGTAATTCTTTTGTGTTGGTGGCTTTATTATTATAAAATGAAACATTTTCTAGGTGCCCGGTTTGAGATGGCTACAAAGAAGAAGCAAAGAAACACGGAAGACGAAAACCGTGAATTTAAAGTTGAATTTAAAGTTGAATGTACCTACCTATATAGTTTAAGCTTGAAAAATTTGGCTCTCAAAAGAAATTTCAATCGTTGTACTGTTGACATTTGGCTCTGTTGACTAATGAGTTTGCCAACCACTGCTCTAGACCAAATCTTAAACCCAATCTATAGCACATATGACACCCAAAGCAACATCTTTTGCTTTTGTAATAAAAAATACTGGTAATAATAGGTTTTTAACTTTAAAAAAGTATACACTTGGACCTAGAGGTGGTAAGTGGTTTTATGGAGGGAGGAGAGTCTGTCATTCAGCAGCTATGAGTTTA